GCGCCAAGTGTTATCTTAGCCAGCTTTTTTAATAACTCCGGCAATTCTTCCTAGTACCACTTGCTTCTTGGGTTTGTGCACGATACGATTGTTTACAGAATGTCGCTGTTTTGAAGGACTGTGTCATGCGGTTCCACAACGTGTGAACCGAGTCCCATAATTTTTCCATATGCTTCAGATAAATTCGAGGATTAAACGTTTACTTCACATATTTTAGAGGTCCTCAACATATTGCTTAAGAATCTGAGTCATAGTTAGGTTACTAAGCGGTTGGACTAAGGTGTACTCAATTGTTTTTTGCCGCAGTGAATACGTCAGTTAATCCAGATAAGCAGTTGCTTGGATCCAGCGCCAATAACATTTGTCGACGTCGAGCTGATATATCTGTCACGCCCAGGAGTGGGAATACATGAGCCATCTGCCACTGTGAAGTTAGAACTATGGCGAAATACTTGGTCAAAGCAATCACCTCCTACATAATAATCACGAATTTCCAATTAAGGGAGCATTGTTCTAAGGATATTTTTACCATGAAGCGTATCCCTCTCTCCCGCTCATCCGCATTCCAGGAGTCCAGGCTATGTATTTTAATTCCAAGGCCTTACCTTACCTAACCTATCCATATCATTTTGGTTTTCCTGACTCCGGTGGTTTGCTTTCTAACTTTAGTTTCTCCTTTCTTTATCCGACTTCTCCTCAAACAAGATGGTGGAGAAAGCGAAGCAGACACCGTGTGGTACCACGCGACCGAAAGTAGAACTTATGAAACAGAGAGACCAAATTATGGCCCTCCGACAGGATGGGGTGATTAACATTATTCCCATAGTGTTTCGTGGCCTCATCCAGAAAGAATCCTTCAGTGCAATTGCTTCATCAGGCCAGGTGCTTATCGTGTTCCGCGCCTTTTACGTAGGACAGCACCACACACACTGGCAGCATTCTGCTTTAAAGACAGCTCATTTTATTCCACATAAAAACGATTTGACTTGCCAATTCCTCAAATATGCAATAGCATTTGCAATAGCAATAGCATTTTGTGGCCCGTAAAATTTTTATATGAAACAGTTTGAAATTTTCAGTATTTTACGGCAAACTTGACGTCCGGAAAGTTAAAGCACCGGCTTCAGGCAAAGGGTCGCAGTGAGAGATTAATATCCTGCCTTGTATTAGGGTGATAACGCATACTGCACCCTGCGACAAAACTAGTGCTACCCTTCCCCTCGAAAGACTATTTAATTAGTGATTCTATGGGTCGATGTCCATCAGCCGTG